CACAGATAAGGGGGACCACTGTATGCAAAACAATGAGCATGGCTGTGTTCCAACAAAAATTTATAGACACTAAAACTTTCATGTAATTTTTACATGTCACAAAATATTATTTTCATTTTTTTTCAATCATTTAAACTGTAAAAGCTAATCTTATATCACAGACCATCAGAAAAAAGGCAGTGGGCCAGATTTATTAGACCATGATCCATAGTTTGCAGACCCAGTATACAGCATCACCATGACTCCTGACTTCCAAACATAGCAGGGACTCCCTACCATCTAGGGCAGAAGTGATCCTTCCCATGTATGCAATGTATGCATGCATCTGTATAGATTGATATGTAAAGGAAGGGAGTGGGGATTAAGGGTGATTCTTGTGAAGTTATCTTAGTTTACATTCTTATAGAGATCAATAATTACATATTTAGTTCAAATACAAGGAAGACCACAGATGTGGATTACAGCCTACATATGACCATTGTGTTCTTTTGCTCTACTTCTTTCTTATCATTTCCTTTCTTCTCTGTCAATTGCAAATCAAAGGTCAGATCAATTTTCATCTTCACTGGACCCTTCTAACATCTCCAGGTCTCACTGATGGCTGTCACACCTATTTTAGCATGTACAATACATCTGTTAAATATGTTCTTATACTACTTCTTGTGTTATTTGTTTGGGTTATAAACTATGTAAGAACAGAGGCTATACCAACCACCCCTATTATTGAAATCTAACTTTATAATTTTTTTTTTAAAAAAGAGCCTCAATATTTATTGTTCTGAAATGTAATTTCATGATAGGTCAGTAAAAACGTTTATTTTTTCTCAAGCACAACCCTGCTCCAGTTGTACAATTTTATGAAGTTTTTCTACAGTTTTCTAATTGCAAGTCAGAACATTCAGTATCAAAGGGTAAGACAAACCATGCCCCAAAATAAAAATATTTAAGTATCTATTATGTGCAGGATGTTAAGTATCTATTATGTGCAGGATGTTATAACAATATAAACAATAAAAATTCTGCCCTCAAATACACTTGTAATTTAATTGGGGAGATAAGGCAATTGTAAGTTTTTTGTTTAAAGCCATTACATAGCTAAATACCAAATATATGGCAGACACAATATATAGGACTTCATGAAGAAAGTAAACGGGAGCTGGAGCTTGAAAAACAGGCAGACTTTGGATAGGTTAAAAAAAAAAAAAAAAAAAAGACGAGAAGGGCATTTCCAGAAAGACAAACTGAAAAAACAAAAGAGGGAGAACACTTAGTAGAACTTCAGAGGATGGGTTTTTAGATGGGGATCTTAGAGGTCATCCTGAGCTAGAGCAGGTAAAATATCAGAAAACATGAAAAAGATCAAGAACAATTAGAAAATATTGGAAAAATAAAGGCAGAAAGGTCAGTCAGGATAAATACAACTAGACACTATCTAGTTGACTGTTAATAGTAAAACTTGAAATTTCTTAGGAAATGTATGTTATTTTTATTTAGGAAACAAATTAAACACTCTTGTGCTAACTAACCTTTGAATCTATTTTTTTTACAACTGGAGAATAACTAGGGCATTGTATTACAAACGCATTCTTTCCCCTAATAATGTCTACATTTGGTGGCAAAGCCTCATCTCTAATAGCCTACGAACACTGCTCTATCTTATTCCTGATACCTTATCTTATATATTATGTTACATTTAAAAGTTCAAAAATTTCAAATGTGTAAATCATCTCCATTTTGGATTTAGAATAAATTATGGCAGAAATGGTAATATATATGATGTAAGAGACTATCACCTGCACTTGCATCTAAACTTTCACTTCAAGGACAAAAGTATAATTTATCTCCAAAGAACTGTTCTATTTTTTTTTTAAGCCTGAAATAAACTATCAATTTAACATACAGTTTATGAACCACATTAAATTGTATTACTGTGCTATTAGAAATTAAAAATGGGAAGAATATATTTTCCCTACTAATGTTTAGTATCTATCAGACCACTGAAAAACATACCGACTGTAGATATATCAATGCAAATTACATGCTATATTGCTGTTCTACTTAAAGAATATGCAATCCAAGAAAATGAAATAATGATCCATCAAGCCAACTGGGTGTATTTTCATAAAAAGTTAGAATCAAGCAAAAATCAAAATAAGCCATGAAGACATTACTAATGAGGAAGAAAAAGGGTGGTAACTTGACCCTATGACAAGTGAAAACAGTAAGCACAGTATTTTGGTGGAAATTCAAAATTGTAATATAACTGAGAAGTTTTCTTTTCCATATTTTGCTAACAGGCTGCTTCTGTTATTTAAAAAAAAGTTTTACAGGCACAAGGGTTCTCACTGGGTGGGAGAAAATGTTCAAAAATTGATTTATGGTGATAGCGATCACCACTTGGTAAAGTTACTAAAAATCACTGAATCGTAAACAAAGCCTTCTGGTAACCTTAGCACACATCAGAGTAGTGGCATCGTACTATATTAGTAGTCACTGTTATTTTTCACCACTATACTTTTGCAGTAAAACACAACAACAAAAAAAACCCAGTTTTAACTATATCCTTTTGATTAGGCAGTAGAAATTATTAACGAAAAAAATGTCAACCCTTGTAAACTAATCTATTTAATATTCCATATGACTAAATGGAAAGTGTGCATAAAGCTCCTCTGCTATATACGTTAGTGTCGTGGTTGTCTTAAGGAAAAGCACTTGCATGACTGAGTTGGAAGCTGAACTCGCTGCTCTTCTCACAGAACTATTTTTACTTGAAAGAATGACAGACAAACCAAAGCTATTCAGACTTTGGCATATGGGAGATACTTTCTAGAAAATGAAGAGCTTATCCTTCAAGAAAAATAAACGATAAAATTAATAATTAGCTCTTTCAAAAAATAGAATTTTAGAAAATGTGTATATATGTCACTCCTACTTTCCAATACTTTAAACCCTTTTAATGGGGTTAGTAATAACGTTAATTAATGTGATTTTTTTGGTGTTGTATCTGGTCAACATATTTGGAATACCTGTGTAAGTCACTGAACCAGAATTTCCCAAACAACCAATGCATGATGTTAATAAACCATGCCCTGGCAAAAGATCCATTTAAAGTATAAGGCCGACCAATATATTTTGTAATGCAGCATAGTTTAGAATCCAAAAAATTGAATGATAAGGTTTCAGATTCCACATTACAGTAACCTTTAAAAAAACCACTACTTGTAGAGTTTTGGTATATTATCAAAAAGAATATTCACAATTATCTGAAAAGGCTATTTAAAAAAAAAAACACCTCTATGTATATGTGTGAGGCTAGGTTTTCTTCATATCCTTCACAAAATCAGGTATGAAAGCAGCTATAAAAATCTAGCTGTAAAATAAGCCAGTAATTAAAGGGTCTGCAAAAATGTAAAACAATGTCACTCGTCTCACTAAATTTTTGTTTTTTAAAAAAGTTATTTTTCATAAAAAATGTCAACTATCATCAATTTAATATTTGTCAATTAATAAATATACTTCTAATTTCTCCGTTTTAATTTCTAATACAGTATATATCAATAGATTTAGCCAACTAACAAATAACAAAACTGCACTCAACAATTCCTAATACTTAAGAAAAGGATTCCAAGACCAAAAAGTTTAAGAACCATTTTTACCTGTAACAATAATATTCCCAAAGATAATTCTGATGTTGATTTTTTTTCTTCTAATCAGCCAATGACTCCTCATTGTGTGTATCTAATTTGGGTCTTAAAGGGGGTGAAAGGCTGTCATTGAATGTTCCAATAGGATCCCATTTGCCTCACAAAGTTAGATGGAGAATTATCCCCCTATATACACATACTTTTTGTAATGCTTCAAAATGACCAATTAATCCATCACAGCTGAGTCCTCTTTTAGTGGAACTGTTAAAAAGTGAAACAAAACAAAAAACATCTCACAATTCCTTCCTCAGTTAACTGATATAATAAGGTTATACTTGTGTCACCTGAGGTAATTCAGGTTTTGGAAAATAACATGCAAATATACATAGTATTTCCTTATGATTTTTATTTTTTATTAAATCATTTGTCATATAAAGCCATTTTCATTTCTAATTTTTTCCATTTTTGACATTGAATTATCAGTTTTAAGATTAATTTCAACATTTTCTAATATATTGCCAATTTTATTTTCACTACCTTTGTTGTTTTTCTGCACTTTTAATCAAGGTTTTTAAAAGCTGAATTAAGTACTCGAAGTTGTGAATTAATTTTTGAGTGCTGCTTTGGCAGACACTTCATAATTATGAACATTTAACCTCTTCTTTGATTCAGTTATTTATATGACTTAATAATTTTTAGTTTGACTGTTATCTGTCCAAAAGCTACAATTAAGCTTCTGTTTTTTAAAATTTATTGGGAGATTTTAAATGACATGCAGCATTGCCTTTTTTTGTATACAAACAATGGAAATACAAATGAAGGCATTATACCTTTTTGTAGAATGTAGCTTGATAATTTAATAAATCTTAATTCTAAATTGTTATTTTAGTTATATATCTATGAGCATGAAACTTTATCTCACTTTAAAATAAAAAAATCTACTTTTTTGCATTGTTTTCCTTTTGTAAAAGTTTATTATATTAAAACTTTCTGCAATCTCAATAAACTACCTTTTTATTTCTAATATCCATCACAAATGGTTCTACTAGTAAATTAAATATATTCTGTTGTAATTTCATATAAGCCATAGGTTGTCAGGAATTAATTTATAGTGTTTCCCCCTTATTTGCATTATAGAATTTTCACAATGGGTTTGAATATTTTTATTTTTCTTGTTTGCATGCTTCCTTTCACTATTTAAAAATATTCAAAAGTCAGCTGCATTTAATGTTCCTTTCTGGATATATACATAACTGCAAAAGCCAGAGAAGACTGGCTCCACTAAGTAAGTAGCATGGAAGGCCAATTTCTAGCAATTTCTACGGCTGAGTTCAGGAAGGGCTGTCTTATACTTACCCATCCACTAGGTGTCAAAAATGGAGCCAGCTGTCACAGGCTCCAATGGTCTGGGGGATCAAATCTGCTCATTAAGGGTAGGCTCATCCTCCTATCTTTGATTTTGGGGATATCAATCAACTCTTAAGACAATCTTATACGTTATACTCTTCAGGAGGGTAGTAAAATGCTACATGTTACTGTTGCTTTTAATCTCTTCTCATTTCAATGCATGGTTGACTAATCTCCATAAATACTGAGAAATATATCCTTAATTCTTGAGTTTGAAATTCTCACAGAACTTTTTTTTATAAGATGCATGGACAGCTTAACATTAAAGACAGGTATGTAGCTGTTTTACTCACTCACCAACATCCCCAAATTTCTTGCAATGATTTACCAATCCTTTTTCTGGATACTCCAGATTCATCCAGTATTGGTTAAGTCTCAACTACTGCATGAGATTGTAGTTGTCAGTACCACAAATAAAAAATCCTCTTCTAAAATACAACAGTTGTACAAGGGTACAGGAAAAAGATACTTCTCAAGAATCAGGGCACAAGGGAAATTAAAATTAGACTGCCCTCAGAGGATTAAACACACAATGCACCAGAGCAGAGGGAGATTAGTTAATTTAGTAAGAGAAAGCTACCAGATTAGGAAACCTTGAAAAGCTATTAACGTACTATTTCAATCAATATGGGGTAGTCAGAGGAAGAAAGATAGGAGCACAGAGAGAGGTACTGATCTGAAATGGAATCATGAAAAGAGAAGTAAAAAGCAAATCTTGGCAATGCCATTCAAATTAGGATGTCATTAAGATGACATACATGCCATAAAACGTTCATGATCTGGTCTTAGTGCAAGACTATCCCTATTGTGAAAATGGACAACTTAACCTGATGGTGTCATTCAACATTCCAGTCACATAAATTTTCTACTCTGATTCCAAGTACTCATAAAGAAACCTTCTGTTTATTATATGGCTTCCTATGTACTAAACCTACAGTGTCAGAACAATCTGGCCAAATATTTCACATACTTAGTCCTCTTAGCATTTACACTTCTCAGTATAAATGATTGTTGGCCTTTTGGTTTTATATATCAGTCTTTTGGAGGCTGGAACAGTTTTGTTCTTCACCAATCTACCCCAAGAACAGGGGTCGGCAAACTGCGGCTCATGAGCCACATGTAGCTCTTTGGGTATGTTCTGCCTCCAAAGTTTCCCGACCCCTGGAAGAGCCAATCCTGTCCCTCACAACAATTTAAAAATTATTCGAGAAACATAAATATATTTTTACATAATCACCCTTACATGAATAATATTCTTTAAAAATTTTATAAGTGAATCTATGATAGTTTTATTTTCATTTTCAATTTTATTTCAGAGCCTGCGGCTCACGAGCCGCAGTTTGCTGACCCCTGGCGGCTCTTCCGTCACAAAAGTCTGCCGACCCCTGGTCTAGAATACTGCCAATTAAAGCTGCGAGCTCGCAGCGCCAGAGGCCAGAACAAAGTTAATACCACCCTCGCAGGATCTTATTTTAGCAGACAATGGGTTTTTAACCCTTTTTACTAGCTTTTTTTTTTTTACTTAATTCAACATATGGTCTATGATTTATATATCTTTCCAGTTTATACGTAACTTATCATAGCATCCAGCAAGCAGTAAAGTGTGTGTGTGTGTATATATATATAAATTTAAAAATTTTATCTATACAATTTTAATATTGAGTTTCCCACAAATAGGATTTGAGGAACAACACAGATAGAATGAAAGTTACGTACACATTAGTGAATACTATGACTCTAGAAGGCATACTTGAATGCTATAAAGTATATCTAATAAAAAAGAAATAAACCTATGCTATGCAAACTATACAATTTTATCTTCTGTCATTTACATTTAAAATTTAATGCTGGAACACAGGCAAAGACCATACACTGTCTTGTACCTCACTCAATGCCATGTAGTTTTCGTTTTTGTTTTCAAGGAAAGAAAAACATAATTTCCTATTAAAAGATCCTCTGCCCATGTTCAGTTTTAACATACTGGATCAGTATGTCAGGTTAATACAGACTAAATACATTAATATTGAATTTAAGTTGTAATGTTAATATGAAAAATAAACCAGTTAAAAAGTGCTTCTAATTTACTTTCTATTTGCTTTTATTTAGATTCAGGGGAACACTTAGCATTTAATGCAGATAACACAATATACACCATTTAAAAATGGCTCTCCGTTTCTACATAAAAACAATTACTGGCACTTCTTGGATGGCCGAATACTTTTTGGTCTGTATTACTACTAATAAATTTCTCTTAAATTCGAAGTCCAGTTGGTTATGATAACGACTTAACTGAAGAGGTCAAATCTTTTGGTCTTCAAAATCTTACTAAAATGAACATTTTAAGACCATATGTATTAACGTGATTAAGTTTAGGTTATGTCTCACCAACTTATGCAAAAATATCACCACAGAGTATTAATTTATTTTTAAGACTTTGAAAATTTCACAATTTAAAAACAAGTTGTTCAATTAATGTTTTATATCAGAAGGGTATTACACTGTCTATTCCTAAGCTTCCTTTTAAAATTAAAATAAATATGCATTTTGGAGAAAAAGTTAAAATGTTAATTTGACAGACAATAATGTGACAGAAATCAAGTGAAATGTAATAGAATTATGTCTTCATTTGGGTTAACAAATAGCACAAATAAGGCTCAAAGTGTTTATGTGAAATTTAGCCAACAATACAGTCAATATAAGCCAGCCAAATCATGAAGCAACTGCTAAGTTATGTTATTGTAATCTTGGGCTCTTTTAATATAAGCATATATACTGGTCACAGAAGCTAATATTGCCACTATAATCCATAAAGCTTAGATCTAATAAGCCTATTGGGTTGTCGGAAAAGTCATGATGCCTTTTTGCAACGAAAAACAGAAAAAAATTCATCATGTCTGTTCCGACAACCCAATATAAGATTTCAATTGTAAGATCCAGATTTTAAGGCTATGGATAAACTGGCGATTATCTAAGGACAACAACCAAAATACCAAAGAATCTGAAAACCTATGTGACTTGATAAAACCAGATATTTAGCCTGAAGGAAGGAGAGATGAGGAAAAATTATCCTCAAAAATCTGAAGTGTTTTCATAAAGCAGTCTTGCTTTCTGTTGTTCCAACTAAATATGAAATCATGGACAGAAGATTCAGAGGCACTGATCTTAACTGGAAGAATAAATTTAAAAAATGATTTCTAGCTAACAATAAAGCAGTGAATTTCTTTTTTTTTTAATTGGGGAATTGGGGGATGGGAACAGCGCTGGGGGATTGTGGGGAGGGAAACAGACAAGTTGCTGTCCTTTGTTCTTCAGTCTACTTGTGGAGGATGTTGTTTCACTGGCCCAAGTTAGCACCATCATTGCGCTCTTCCCGGGAGAGGCAGATCAGTCGCCGGCTTCTGGAAGGCCATTCACTGCGGCTGCTGGCCGCTCACGCTGGCTGCTGGCTGCAGCTATACAGTAGCCCATGGCAACCCACTGCAGCAGGGGCTACAGCCTATGCCGTTGCCGGTGACTCACGGCAGCCCAGCTCCAGGTTGAGCTGTTGTTCAGCATCTTAGATGTAGAGGGCAGTGTCACTGGCCCTCATATGTGGGATCCGAACCGGGGCCCTCTAGCGTCCCAGGCCATCTCAACCACCGTGCCACTCAGCCGGCCCAAGCAGTGAATTTCTTATCACCAAAAGCTGGATGATCAAGTAAAGATGATATAAAAGGGATTTTCCTGGGATGTATATAGTCCTTCCAAACAATATGGCCTAGAGCCTTAATTATAAAGCTTTAGTAATATACAGATGGATTTCCTGGAATCTTGTTAAAATGCCGATTCTGATTTTGTTCCTCTAGGGTAAGGCCTGAGCATCTGCACAATACCTATGTTGTTGGCCCAGGGACCACACTTAAATAGCACTTTAAAGGGCTCAGAGTACATGTCTATCAAATAATTTACTTAAGAGTTACATATAAGCTTTTCAATTAACAAGAATATATACCACATGAAGACGGGAAAATATGGGTGACAACAAATTCAAATGTTAGAGTGAAGTACATTTTTAAGTTTAAAAAATATATATACTTTCACATAATTAAAGCCAAAATTATGTAGTAAAATAACTTACTGTGGCTGGTAAAGGAAGAGATCAATAATGTTATCACGCCCTTTGGGATGGTTGAAGAAAACAAACAGAGACCAGTGAATGAGCCACGTTCGCTGCTGAAGAGACTGAAGTGGAGAACTCACAGACTAAAGAGTTAAAAAAAATGTACATACACATAAGAAATATTAATAAATGAGAAAGAGGCAAGGGAATAAGCACAGCTGATCTCAGGATTTTAGTTAAAAATGAGAACCTTCTAAGGCATGTACTAGGTTCATTATGATCCTAGTCCAATCTCCTGGACCCTCTACTCTGCACGATCCTCAACATTCAAAATTTCTGTTCTTAAGAGACAGATTTAATAATGTCCACTAAACCATTTTTACAGAGGCTGTAAATTATACTCATTTTAGAAAACATTTTAAAAGCAAGAAACGAACTCAACATTCCACAAGAAATAGTTTTATTGTAGATGAAAACTGTCATCTTCTACAAAGAGTTTTCAATAATAAATAGCACTAACAGTATTGTGTCATTTTCACTGATAAAAAACAGTAGGTGGTAACAAAAATTAAAACTGAGTTCTTTTTTCTAAGAGCCAAAAGAAATCTGACAGCTTCCTTAAAGCAGATTCAGTGAAACCAACCAACCCACTAACCCACTAGGATTTTTATGTAAGGTCAACAAAAGCTAACCCAAACATTTTAATTTCGTTTCTTTTCTTTCTTTCTTTATTTTTTTTAAGTATACAGTGTTTCCCTTATCAGAAAGTATGAAAAACATACAGACATTTCAGAGCATCATCCTAAAAAAGTTTAACTCACGTTATTATCTATGGTCTCTTTTAACCGCGTAAGGTCTTCCATGGCTGCATCCCAATTCTGCATTAAAATTTCAGAGGCCAGTTTTCCCCAGAGTGAACTCAAAGCATTTCTATCTGTTGCTGGAACCTGTTCAAGATATCATAATTAATTATATTTGAAATATTCTGGAAAAGGAAGATAATGTGTATTTTCTACCCTACATATCCATCTAGTCTACTAAAAGACCTGTAGCTTTCTATCCAAAACTTCAGTTATTAAGCGCTATTGGATCACACTGATTAAACTAATTCAAACAGACTTCACTTATCTTAATTATACTAAAAACACTCAGATCTTGAATATTCAGCTTAGGTCAGAAAATAAAGAGTAACTTAAAATAAGGATACCGCACCAGTGTTTTTGTATAACCCATTTCAGATCATTTATACACAACTAATCAAATTTTAGATTCAGAGCTAATTTGTTGCTAAAAATCACTGGAGTGAGGATGTGGGAAATCAAGACTTGTGGGTCTCATTTACAATTTAGAGAAATTATTTCCAGTTCAAAACAATTCCAAACTATGACACAAATGGAAGGGACTATGAAGACAGAAAAAAGGTCTGCTGCTTAATAACAATTAATTATTATCAAAGAAATATGTATTGAAGAATAAAAGTTCACTTTTTCATATAATCTTAACAAAAATCCTAGAAGGTAAATAATGATTTTTATCCCCATTTTAAAAAGGGGAAATTGACGCATGGAGAATGTAATTTGCCCCAAATTACACTTGCAATCATGAACGCAAATCATGAATCACTGCAATCTTAACCTACAAGAGAAACGAGGGCCACCTTACCTGTACTCACCACATCTATGAAGACAAAGCTAATAAAAACTAGTAAAGTAGCTCCCTCAAAGCAAGGCAAGAGAATTGGATAGAAAAACTCTGAACTGATCAGGTGTGCTAAAGAGCAGAAACAAGTGAGGGCATTAGAGGTAGAATGCATTTCTGTACCCCAAGTTGAAATTTTGAATTTAATTTTTCATTGAAGCATATACATGATAGTATAATTGTAAAATATGAGTATTATTAGTATATATCTTCAAGTTAAATAAAACTGCAGGGGCAGGTCTGGAAATCCAACCACCAATAATTCTGGCTCTACCACTTACTATAAATAGCTGAACTATGTGTACTTCAGTTTCCTCATCTATAAAATGGGGATAGTAATAGAACCTACATCAGCTGTTGTACAATTTAAATAACAGCAGATGTGAAGAGATTATAATATCATCTGACAAATAAAAATTCAGGAAATGGGAATATCAAATGACAATGAGAATAGAAATGATATCAGAGTAGTTGTAGGTTGTCTAAACTATGAGGACCATAATAATATCTAATTCAGACTCTGTCTATACTGAGATTCTTCCTTTGATGGCAATAATTAACTGAAATATACAGAATACCATTTAGCAAACTCTAAGAAAAAGCAAATAGCAGAGACTAAATTTGTAAATTAAATTTTGAAACATATCCATGAATATGAATAAGAACCACTGGTTCTTATTATTATATGTGCACTAAAAAAACTTGTACATGAATATCCATGACAACTCTATTTGTAATATGCAAAAACAAAGCAATCCAAATGTTCCCAACAGCTGAATACATAAACAAGTTGTAGTACATTCATATATTCATAGAATGGAATACTACTCAGCAATAAAAAGCATCCAACTTCTGATACACACAATAACATAAATGAGTCTCAAACACTTGCTCGTCAAAATAAGCCAGACACAGCTTGTATATCATTCCACTTATATGGAATTCTAGAACAAGCAAAACTAATCTAGAAGAATAAAGAACAGATCAATGGATGTATCAGGAAAATTATGACCTCAAAGGGGCACAAAGGGTCTTTCTGGGGTAACAAAAATATTCTTTATCTTGATTTGGTGGTAGTTGCACAGTATGTGCATTTGTCAAAACTCAATGAAATGAAAATATCGATTTCTAAAACCATTGTTCAAATTATAAAGGATAAAATGTTTGATCCTTACAAAGAAATACGAGTATTAAAATATTTCTTCAAATCTAAGATGCCATCAATTTTAAGATAACACTACTATCTTATGTTTCTAAAACCTAAACCACAACCAATTCAAGACACATCCCAATTTCAGATGATAAAATGTGATAAACTGTTATCTGAGAATTAATATGAAATAGGTATCTTTTAGGGCCGGCCGAGTGGAGCGATGGTTAAGAACTCGCTTGGGATGCCCGAGGGCCCCGGTTCGGATCCCACATATGAGGGCCAGTGACACTGCCCTCTACAGCTGAGATGCTGAACAACGGCTCAACCTGGAGCTGGGCTGCTGTGA